TAAGCAAAAAGACTGATTGAGGTTGATGGTTCCCTCAAAAAGCTTAAGTGCCTGATTTACTTTAATGTGGATGGCTGTACAAGTCTTATGGAGTTGTGCGAAGGAATCGAACAGTTACAGAAGCTCGAGTTGTATTTAGGCAATTGCAAAAAGCTGAGGAAGCGGCCTAAATCATTTGTGAGAGTGGCATCACTGGTAGAGTTGGATCTCTCATAAATGGCCATCACAAGATTAGTCGGCTCGATTGGTAACCAAAAGTGATAGTCAGTACTTAAAGTGCAATCTCCAAAAATTAATGAACTTCCTAGTTCTATTTGGGAATCAATGGAAACTTAAGTCTCTCTTTCTATGGCATTCTAAAATAAAGGACCTTCCCATCTTGATTAGCAACTTGGAATCGCTACTCCAGTCAGATGTCTCGGGAACACGATGTCTATGGTATGGTTACCTGAATCTATTGGAGAACTTGGTAGATTAAAAGTCACCAACATTTCAAATTCTTGGATCAGGGAGTTACTGAGGAGTATTGTTGTGCTAAAAAAGTACGAAGAGCTACATGGTGGGCGATAAAATATTTAAATATTAAACCACGCTTTCATCTAACAGCTTAAGCTTTTAGAACAGTTGACAGTAGTTCTATAAAATCGCACATTGTATTAAAGTAGGAGATCTTGAGTTCAAATCTTTTTAGGCCCCACTTGTCTACCCAATTAAATATCTCAACGCTTAGTATTAGGCAAAAAGACCAGACTAGAAGTGAGGGGGAGTGAGTCCTTTACTCGCAGGTAATCTGTATTTGCATTGTACTGGTGACCCTTCCATCGTTAGCAAGGTGAGGCTGGATAGAAGATAATGCCAGCTTCACTCCTCGCCTAGCATGAGAAGCATAAGATATTGAATAGCAATGGGTTGGTTGAGTCGATGAAGATCATGGTCGCAGCTCGCCACATCTCCTATAGATCCTTTTTATACTATTCTCTTATTGCCGTTCGTATTTGATTATTCGACATTTAGATTAGCTTTCACCTGTTTGAATTAGTGGGGGTAGATTTGAATATTGTTACGAGTGAATTTGCAATACGAGATGCTATGCTGATGATGTCATTGAAATGTTTGTTTCATTCTTGATGTCCTGTACATCCATCAAGTTTTTCTGTTTTCTCACGTCTTTAAGGTGTGCTTGTGGAGTGGAATGCCAATTCCGGTATATGCATGTGTAGTTTTGTTTAGCTCTCTCTTGGATACCAAATTATATGCACTTGGATTTGCACATGTTACATGATACTAACTTCAGATGGAGCTGAATCACTGTCTTATGAGAGGATTTATAGCAGCTCACGATTAACCTTGTATCTATCCCTCCTTCACAGAACTGCTTTACCTTCGGACATTACTTTCACAGAACTTAAAATTGCATGTACTTCCTTGCCTAGAGAAATTGAGTTTATGGGGTTGCAGCAAACTCGTAGTGCAGACCTGAGCTTCTCACAAGTTTGATATAAAAAGCAACAAAAGGAGAAATTTCCTATTGGGACTATCGACTGTTAAGTTTTCTTGTTTATTGGTCCCAATCTTCTTGAATCTCTTAGGCATATTAGACATGGTAAGACGTATGTTCCAATAATAATCGTCGCTATCATTTGAAACTTTCGAGAAGTCCCCCTGCTATGACGAACCACTCGAAGAGAATGTCCGTTACAATAGGGATATGGGAAGATGCTCTGAGTGTCGCCCAAGAGCCGGCGGAGCCAGTCATTTTCATGCTCTTAGAATGTCGTTCATTCTTATGGACGTGCCTTTCATTGATCAGGTGCTTCCAGAGAGGAAACTCTCAGGTGAAATACTCGTGAGAATGGAGTGGAAGCCATTGTGATGATGTTGGATGTGCACTTTGTGCTAATCCATGGAATGGGCGGAATAGGTAAAACTACTCTCACTGAGGTTGTGTTCAACAAACAAAATTACCTCTTCAGGCGAGAATATTCCGTGAGAATGGGCGTGGGAAAGAGCTCGGAGGCTGGAAAGTGTGGCGGCGTGTCGTCGACGATTTCTTGAGTTTCAGAGGGGTGGACACTCGCCAAGCATTGACGGATTGCCTTTACCACGTTATGCTAGACGTGATTTTTTGTTGGATGAGAAGACTACCACGTTGGTAAAGAAACAAGAGACGAGCTGCGGAGGGCAATAAAGAATTCCAAGATCTACGTACCCATCTTGTCTAAAAATTATGCTTCCAGTCCGTCGTGCCTTCTCGAGCTCGCACACATGGTGGATTGCAAGAAATCCAAACCATTCGAGAAGGAGATTTTGCCGATTGTCTATGACATGGAACCTCGCGATGCAATGCTTTAGTCACGACTATACGTTGGCACTTTGGCGAAGCTTGAGGAGAATTTTGGCCGGAAGACAACGAGAGCGTGGAGGATGCCCTCAGAAATGTCGCCCAAATCAAAGGATGGGAGTTGAAAAAGCATGGGTATGTAGGTGTCCTAAAGCACTCCATTCACTCTTGTTTTGGTCTTTCATTACATACCCGACCTTGGATAAGGTCTCAGTCAGATGTGCTGATATTGAATGAATACCATGTGTGTTTTGAAAACAATTTTTGGTTACAGAATCAACCATTTATTTCATATGGTAACCGGTACTAGCCATGTTGATTGCAACCACTTGCTAAGTGTCCTGAGGTTATCTTTTACGATTTCGACTTACATGATTCGCTATTGCGGCAGGCACTGGAAACTCATTAAATTGGTGACAAGAGAGATTATGATGAGGCTGAAGGTAAAAGACAAAAACGACGCCGAGAAGCGAACGGGGGATTTTGATATTGAAGGCTCTGAATGAATATATAAGTAATGCTAAATTCAAACTGCACAAAGATGTATTGTTCTGTCACAGATCGTAAATCCATCGTAAATTTATGTGGAAATGAAAATTTTCGTTCATGCATTGTGGACAATTCAACATATTTTCTCCATTATGCAATTGCCTTATGTTGACAATGTGGATATTGCCAAAATGGTACTGGGCCTGCGTAACCGAATGCTAGCTTGGGTGATAGATCGGACAAATGATGTACTAAAGAAAGTCATCTAATGCATAAATATTTTGACGAAGCCAACACATCACTTATAAATAGGCACAAGAAGACATATCATTTCATGTCACAAAATAGGAAAGGTATTTCATGTGACAGGTTTTTATTTTTCGGTCAAAATGTGACGGTTAAAGCATGTGGTAATGACATATGGTCTAAAAAGCCAATTAAGAATAAGTGCATCCAATATTTAACAAGATGATAATAAGTTATAAATTAGGGGCTACTGTGAAGATTACAACGGTGTTTTCATTAGAAGCTGTCATAATCGAACTGTTCTGTCATCTAGATTATCCCGGGATGGTACAATTTTCCTTTGTTCTAGTGCCGAATTCATTCGTGCTTCTCAAGTGTATCTATGCAACTGTTCGAGGATGACAATCTTCTACTTCCTCCTCGCAGAGAATGTGATCATCAAAACTTCCTCGAAATCGGGCAAGTTATCAATGTCAACTGATATAAGTGCTCCATCGGTCCATCCATCAGAAATATGTCAACCAGGCCTTACAATGGAAATGGTTTGGGAGTGAGAATCGCTCACGCCAGTTCCCATTTTCGTCTTGTGAGATCACTGATTAAGAAAGAAGGCATCCGGTGGTGAGGTTGCAAATTACTCAAGCGAAGAAGATTGCTTGATCAGCTTCCTGGATCTGTGGTTCTGCTCGCCATCGTTTTCTTTGAAAAAAAATCCTATTATTTGTTTATAGAACTGTTATTAGAACCCACTCTACTCCTGCTGTGCCACCGCATGCCCAATGAGACATGGCGCGCACATGGTCTGCAGCTGTTGTTACCCTGGAAGGAAGTGCTCATCATCTGGTAATTTCTCATTCCGTATGTCATTCCGTTGATTACGCGAGGTACAGATATTAGCTTGATTTGGGATGTTTTGTCGCCTTGGTGTTGGTTTTTTGTGGCAATGTTTGATGGACCTACACATTGCCAGCCTTTACTGATCTGAATCGGTTAGGATTGGACTAGTTTGTGAAGTGGGCATTAAGTGCAGCATGATGATTATTCGACATTTAGATTAGCATTCGCCTGTTTAAATTAGTGGGGGTGGATTTGAGTAGTGTTGCGCGTGAATTTGCAATATGAGATGCTATGCTGACGATGTCATTGAAATGTCTGTTTCATTCTTGATGTCCTGTATGTCCACCGAGTTTTCCTGTTTTCTCACGTCTTTAAGATGTGCTTGTGGAGTGGAATGCCAATTCCGGTATATATATGCATGCGTAGTTTTGCTTAGCTCTCTCTTCTATACCAAATATATGCACTTGGATTTGCACATGTTACTTCAGATGGAGCTGAATTACAGTCTCTTTAGAGGATTTATAGTAGCTCACGAATAACCTTGTATCTATCCCTCGTTCACGGAACTGATCTGCTTATTGTCAGTTTTAAATGTTAGTTTCGTACACGCTTTACCTTCGGACAGTACTTTCACTGAACTTAAAATTGCATTTACTTCCTCGATTAGAGAAATTGAGTTAATGGCGTTGCAGCAAACTCGAAGTATTGCCGGAATTTCTAACAAGTTCGATATAAAAGCAACATAAGGAGAATTTTCCCATTGGGACTATCGACTGTTAAGTTTTCTTGTTTATTGGGCCCAATCATCTTGAATTTCTTGGGCATATTGGACAACGTTAGACGTATGTTCCAATAATAATCGTCACTATCATTTGAAAATTTCGAGAAATCTCCCTGCTATGACGAACCACTCGAAGAGACTGTCCTTTACAATAGTGATATGGGAAGATGCTCAGAGAATGTCGCCCAAGAGCTGGCAGAGTCTATTTTTATGCTAACGAAGTGAACGTACCTTCATTGATCAGGTGCTTTGAGAGAGAGAGAGAGAGAGGAAACTCTCGGGCCGAAATACTATGTGAGAGTGGGCATGAGAATGAGCTCGGAGGATGAAAAAAATGACGGTGTGTCGTCAGCGAATGGCTATGACGTCTTCATGAGTTTTAGCGGAGTAGACACCAGACAAGGATTCGCGGATTGCTTTTACCACGTTATGCGAGAAGCAAACATCCATGTTTTCCGCGATGAGGAAGAGCTCCACGTCGGTAAAGAAATAAGACATAATCTGCAGAGGGCCATAGAAAATTCAAAGATCTATGCACCCATCTTTTCTGAAAATTATGCTTCCAGTTCGTCATGCCTTCGCGAGCTCGCATACATGGTGAAGTGCAAGAAATCCAAACCATTCGAAAAGATGATTTTGCCGATTTTCTATAACGTGGAACCTCGCGATGTTATGCTTAAGTCTGAACTTTACACTAGCGCTTTGGCGAAGCATGAAGAGAAGTTCGGTCGGCAGACAACAAGAGCGTGGGCGGATGGCCTCAGAAGTGTTGCCCAGATAAAAGGAATGGAAGTGAAAAAGCAAGGGTACGCAGGTGTCCTAAATCACTCCATTAACTTTTGATTTAGTCTTTCATTATATACCCAATCTTGGATAGGATCTCGTTTAAGCAGTTTGAAATTGAATGAATACCATGGGTGTCTGGAAAACTATTTTCGATGACAGAATCAACCATGTCAACTATTTTTGCCTTGAGGTTATCATTTTATAATTTCTACTTAGATGATTCACTAACGTGGCAGGCACTGGAAATTCATTCATTTGGTGACACGAGAGATTCTGATGAAACTGAAGGTAAAAGACAAATCTAACTTCACAATTTAACACATTTTCTCCATTATGTAGTTGGCAAAATGGTAGTGACCTTGCGTAACCGAACGCTAGCTCCGGTTATCGATTAAACAAAGGATGTATAAAAAAAAGTCATTCATTATATGACGGGAATCCACCATATACATAAATATTTTTTATGATGCTCACACAATAGACACAAGAAGACATATCATTTCATGTCTCAAAATAGGAAAGGTTTTCATGTGATGGTTAAAGCATATGGTAATGACACATGATCTAACAAGCCAATAAAAAAAAAGTGTATCCAATATTTAACAAGATAATAAGTTATAAATTGGGGACTACTGGGAAGACTATAGAAGCTGTCGTAGATGAATTGTTCTGTCGTCTGGCTTATCCCAGGAAGGTACAATCTTCCTTCGTTCTAGTGCATAATTAATTCATTCTTCTCAAGTGTATCTATGCGACTGTCCAAGGATGACGACCTTCTGCTTCCTCCTCGCAGAGAATGTGATCATCAAAACTTCCTTGAAATCGAGCAAGTTATCAATATCAACTGATGTAAGTGCCCCATCGGTCCAACCGGCAGAAAGATGTCAACCAGGCCTTACTATGGAAATGCTTTGGGAGAGAGACTCGTTCACACCAGCTCCCATATTTCTGTCTTATGAGATCACTGATTAAGAAGGAAGGCATCTGGAGGCGAAGATGCAAACTCAAAAGAAGAGGATTGCTTGATTAGCTTCATGGATATGTGGTTCAGCTCCTCATCAATTCACAGAAAATATAATCCTTTTAAGTCACTTATAGAACTGTTATTAGATGCTACCATACTACTTCTGTGCCGCCACTGTTGGGGAAATTAGATTGCTGATGAAAATAGAGTGGTAGTTTATATTTTCTTAATGCTTTGATGTATGATGATGATCACTATCCTTAAAGTATTATTTGCCCTTACTATTGTTACTATCGGGTTTAAACAAATATATCTCCAGAATATACACTCTAGTCACAGAAAAATGAATTGAGCAATTGCTCGATTTCTCTATTGGAATTTCTATCTTGAATGTGTTATCAAATTTGTGTACGAGGAGAAAGAAAAGAGTGTCAAAGGAAAGAAATCCCAACAGCGTTGATTGTGGAACTGCTACAATTCCTCCACGACTTGGTCATCAAGTCAGATCATTTCCTTCCAAGAATACACCTACAATTCCTCCACGACTTGCTCCTCAAGACAGATGATTCTCTAGAGATTGTATCCCACAGAATCACGTCTCTTGTAAACCTAGTGCTTAGCCTATATATTCACTGTGTTGTATAGCAAACGTGTGTATAGAAGACATTCTCTTGAAATATACAGAAAATACAAGGCAACGTTGTGTCTGAATCTTCTTCTTCTATTCAGCCCTCTTTTACCATTTTCACAAAGAGAATGTTATTGTTATGAACAGTTGTGATGAACAATGTATGATTTAGTGCTATTTACACACAACCAACTTCTTTTTGGAGTAGCTACCTTTTCCTCACCATCACCACTTTTTCTTGTTAACCATCACCACTTTTGATGATCAATCATCACTTCTCTTCATGTTAACAATCACTTCTATTCATATTCAACAATCACTTCTTTTCATGTCCAATAATCACTTCTTTTGATAATAACAAACTATTTCAACAGCCACCACCTCAAATTGCATGCTTAACAAGATATTGTACTAAGTATAGACACAATATGCAGACAATTCGTGTCATGCCCCGAACCCCGCGAGCGTGCCAACATCCCTCCGAGGTCGTCAAGTATGCGACATCCCAGGACTTGTCGCCGACCCAAACTTAATCACTTACAAATAGCATAAGCAGAAGCAAATACAAACTCTCCATACAACATGTAATCCAACGGGATAATAGAGAGACAATCGAAACACATCAACAAATACATTTTATAAACATAGCGTTAAACACAAATAAGCAATTACAAGCCTTACTAGAGGTCACCATCTAGACACCACTCATAACAAAAAAGAATTGGGTGGTGGGTAAGCTTAACTCCTCTACAAAAGGGGTACTCCAAAAAGAGACGAGGAGAATAATCCCATCCTTAGATCATCACGGTACCCTGGTGGCATCTCCGGATCAGTCATGGTCGTGGGTCTGAAATGTTTATAATTCAACAATGAGAATAAATCTCAATAAGCAACTACCTAAGCCTCGCTTAGGCTAACACGTACCTCCGGACAATCCTAAACGTGCAATTCTAACAAACAACGTGCCATAGACAACACAGGCGTCCTTACCTTGCCTTGGCACATGCACATGCCCTGCACGTTGGAATACTGCCATAACATGGCAATTCGCTCATCGAGCACATAATACAACCACATAACGTAAACGTGCATAAAACGGTTATTAAACCATACATGCTCAACAGCAACACAAGCACATTGCATTCCCCAATGCATAACACCTGATTATAAATGTCTAGATTATTAACGGCCCCTCGGGCCACCGAACCTCCGCCGATCTTCTGGCGTAACCAGGCATCGTCCCGCTACTTCGGCGACGGCAACATTCGGAACCCCCGCCCAGACGGCATTCCATAAAGGAGCATCGGTCCGGCCTCCACCGCAATCGGCAACTTCTAGAACCCCCGCCTAGACGGCATCCAAACTCCCGTCGGGCATTGTCTAGAACCCCCGCTTAGACGGAACGTGTCGTGGCCATGCACACACTCAACAACCATTACCGATTCTTATCTTTATGAATTAACCAAATGCCAACTAAGTCTGTACTCATCAATTAAAAAGCCTCGCCTTTATTTTGTAACAAAATCTCCGAAAAGTCCCCGAGGGAGAGAAAAACCGAGTATGCACAGAATCGCGGCCAAATTGGGCAGTTGTGCAGTGACCGAAATCCTTTTGAAATAAATAGTAAATCAACTTCAAAAATTATGAAATTTGGATATGTTGTATAAAACATCTTGATAAACATTTTTCATGAAGGACACAAAATCCAGTTCTAACTGTAAATGCCTCGTTTTGACACTCAAATCCGGACAGAATCCGGTTCGCTCGGACAGCCCCTCAGACCATCAAAATACAACTCATTCAGTACCCAAATCACTTTGGAAAGCTCTGAAATTTTTATATGTCATAGAAACGGATGTTATTAACAATTTTTGTGAAGGAATTTTGTTGAAAAGAGGTATGGAAAAATTTATAGAAAATCGGAAAGACCAGAAGGTCAGATGAACAGTAAATCCGGCAGACTGAATTCGATCCAAAAATGGATTTACAAATGGCACTAAATGATCTCTAAAAATTTCAGATTTAATATATGTAAAACTTCAAGATATTATGAACAACTTTCATGAGAACACTTCCTCAAATTCGGCCCACACAAGTCACAGTAAAAATAGCAAAATCCAGCGACGCAGCAGCAACCTTACCGGAAATCAACCAACAAGCACCACCAAGCAAACCAAGCACAACCAGCCACTAAACCAACTATCTACAGCCCTTAAACCATCCCTAACATGTCCATTAGTCACCCCTTAGCCTGGTCGAGGGTTAGGAAGCCACTTACTAGGAATGCTAAGCAAGCAAACCAAGAAGAGAGGTAGCAGCAACTCCGGCGGTGAGCTGAGCTCACAGCGGCTGGACGGTGGCTGAGGGAGGCGGGCGAAGCGGCTGGCCGGCTGGAATGGAGAGCAAGAAGCAGCAGCAGCGACCAAGGATCAGCCGCGGCCCAGCAGAAGCCAAGAAGCAGAAGTCGAAGAAGAAAGCAGAAGGAAGAAGTAGAAGCAGCAAAGCAGCGGCAACAAGGCAGAAATGAAGCAGAAATGGAAGAAGTGCAGCTCAGCAGAAGCAGCAGCTGCACGTGAGGGTGCAGCAGGAAGTAAAACAGAAGAGTAGAAGTAGTGGCATGGGTGTTCAGCGTGACAGAGGAGTCAGCAAAGCAAAGTCAGCAGAAGCAACAACAGAGCAACAAGGGAATGAGTGGAAGTCAGTCACAGCAGCAAGGTCAGCACGTGGGGCAGCTTGAGGGGTCAGCAAAGCAAAGGTAGAAGCAGCAAAGTGGGGCTGCCCGGCGGGGAAAGAGGTAGGCGGCGTGGGATTTCAGCGGGGGAGGAGGAGAGGAGAGAGAGATTTTCAATATTATCTCCACAAAAATAATTTGTCCACAAAATATTTTGCCCAATTTTCCTTTTTCCAAAATTTCCGATCAACCCGATAATTGGCCACGTTTAATGAGACGACGTCCAATAAATTAGTTGTGGAAATCTTGAAACTTTGATACCCAATTCGGATTCTAATTAGTGGCAAAATTCAATTGAACGCAACTTTAGTGCATTTCGAACTAACGGGCGGCTTTTAGGAATTTACACGTATTGACTCGTGGCCGATTCGATATCAAGCCACATCTAAGTTTACTCGAGCCATGGCAACCTCGGTTGTCATGTAATTGCGAGGGTCAATCACTAGTTCTGAATAGCGCGATCGTTCGAATTATGTTTAGGATCGTTCAAAATTCATACAATGGCCAAGCGGAATCACCCGCGACCCAATTGCACGACATTTGCGAATCGTTTCATAATCATCCTTGGATCGGCCTTTAACGGCCCAAAATATTCCCTCGCCAATTCTTATGGTCGAAGTGTCAATCCATGGCCAAGTTCTTAGGTCCACGTACTTGATTCCTAGCTAACCATTCCCTAACGCTTAGTCTACTCGAGAGTGATCAATTCCGAGCGAGATTTCACTGAAAGCGCA